TCCGCCGATGAGCAGGGCAGTGCCTTGCTAGTTAGCTGGCTAGCCACCTGGCTAGCTAGCTAGATGGCTAGCTAGCTAGCTAGCTAGCCATCTAGCTAGCTAGCCAGCTAGCTGGCTAGCTAACCACCTGGCTAGCTAGCTAGCTAGCTAGCTAACTGTCTTTGCAGTTTAGCCTCGTGTCTGCGCCTCTGAAACGTTGAGGCCTTTTTATCTCTTCTTGTTTTGCCATTTAGAAAAAGGAGCTCATTTTAGAATTGGAGGCGGTTTAAATTTGAATTAAGTGGATAAATAAATGGATAAATAAATAAATAAATAAATAAATAAATAAAGTGTTGTTGTTTGCAAGGGCCGCTTACCTGAGCAGCGAAGAAAAGGTCTTGGGGGACTTGGGGGTTTGCTGCAGCGCCTCCCTGGCTGCTGCTGCTGCTGCTGCTGCTGCGCTGGCGCTTTTTGTCTTTGCCCCAGTTGAAGAGAAAAATAAATCCCAAAACTTTTCTGTGAGAGCCTTCCGCCTCGAGGGCGTCGAAGGCCTCTTTGTCGAGTCCGTACACCTCAGCGAAGGCGACACCGCGGACGCCCAGCATTTCGACGAGTTCCGAAAACACCCCGGGGTCGCTTTCGATCAAACACCATCCGGAGTAGTCGGCGGCCATTTTCGACGTGATCTGCACTTTAAAAAGGAAAAATAATCTGAAATTCGAGTTTATTTCTCCTTTTCGACGAGAAATCCGAAGGAAACTCCACTTTTCGAGCCCAATTCAGCTTTTTGTGCAAGTTTCCGCCGGGCAAAAAAATGCCCCAAAAATCCTCCAGCGCGCAACTCCAAACCACAAATTCAATATGCTTCCGCAAAATGCCTTTTAATTTATCTAATTAAAAGAGTTAATCATAGAAAAGCGGAAACGCCGGCGGTGTGTATGTACACCCCAACGCCGCAGCCGCCAACGGAAGCCCCGCTAGAACTAGCGCCGCTTAGCCTCATAAAACATTAAAATTACGCAAAAAGAACTCAAATATGAACTTCAATTCCATTTTAATTCTTATTTTCTTGTCCGTCTCAATTTTGTCGCCGCCATTGTGAAATGGCGCCGGGGGCGCATGCACCTCCTGGTACACATACACCCCAAATTTCAGCAGCAGCCCACACAGCGAAGTTTCGCTCTAACTTCTTTTCCTTTTAAATTAATTTCTTCTTTTCTTTCCACATTTGAATGCAACCCCGCCTTCTTGGCAGCAGATCTAGTCTAGCGAGCACTTCCTGTGTCCAGCTCTCCCACCGCACACTTTTCTATCTTTGAATTCTTTTATTTGTTTTGCAAAAACCACAAAAGAAACATTATTCGAGCACGGGAAAGAAGCTGCATCTAATGGGGCTTTTACAAACAAAGAACTCCGCCTAAAAAAGCATTTCTTTGTTCATTTCACCTAGGCAAAAGCAGCTAACATCTAGCGATAGCTAGCCACCCGTGGGACTTGCATTATGTCTCGCTAGCTGGCAAGCTGACCAGCTAGCCATCCCTCCGCCCGCAGTAGCCAGCTGCAGCTAGCTAGCTGCGGCTGGTTAGCTGCAGCTAGCCGCAGCTAGCCGCAGCTAGCTGCAGCTAGCTGGCTGTTTACCAAGGCTGATTTTGCCTATCAATTAGTTGTTTCCACTCTCTAAACAACTAATTACAGAGGACTTCACAAGGTCTTTTGCGTTTTTACAGCTAAGTCGAAAAGCCTTTAAACTTCCATTTAGATTTCACAATTTCCAATTCATACAATTTCTATTAATTAATCTGGAGTCACAAATACTCCATTTTTGCTTAATGGGAAGTCAGCGCACGCCAGGTAGCTAGCTAGCTTGCTAGCCAGTTATTTAGTTAGCTAGCTAGCTAGCTAGCTAGCTGGCTAGCTAGCTAGCTAGCGAGTAAGCTGGCAACAGAGTCTGAGAGGCATCCGCTCGAACAGGAAATCGAAGACTTTGAAAGAACCTGAATTTAGCTTCTTCAATAAGAAGATAAACCCTAAACCCTAAACCATAAACCCCCAAACCCTCGAGGCCTCGCTCTTGCAGTTATATTCAGAAGAAATATAAAATCGCGGAAGTGAGATCTAATTGAATATTAAGAGGCTTTTGACTTCAACTGTACATACACGATGAACACGGAGAGCTCCTGAGGCCTCGAAAGGCCTCATTAGTAAACTAAACTAAAAGCTTTTAACTCAGCCCTTTTGGTGCTGCTGAGGGCCCGCAGCAGCAGCAAAGAAAAGCCACTAAGTCTCGAAATTGCTGCAGAGGTGAAGTGTCTTGCAGCTGGCGCAGATGGCTGTTCTGGCCACTGAATGCATGCACTTAAACCTCCTAAAGAGGAACAGTAGCAGTTTAAATCCTTTTAAATGGTCCAAAAGCTATTTTGGCGTGCTTTCCACTCCTCGGAAACGGGAGTTGAGGTGTACGTACACCCTGTTCGCCCGCAGCCGCTCCTGCCTGCGTTGCGCATAATTCGCGGGAGGCCCGCGGGGGAGAAAGCGGCAGTTTCTTAATTGAGACACTTTTGAAAAGAGGAGAAAAAAGGTTTATTTTGTGTTTAGAAAGGCCAGGACGTGGAAAGTGGGAGGTTTCTGGGTTGGTGCTGCGCGCGGCGCTTCTTCTGAGTCGGTGGAAAGACAGGCAGCGGCGCGGCGGCGAAGAGGCGGGTTCTTTTTGGATTTTTTTCAAGCTAGAAGAAATATTTGCAAAAGAATACCATTTGAAGAGAAAAGTGGAGAAAAAGGAGGCGCCCCAAGGCGGGTTGCGGGCGCCGGGGCTCCGGCGCGACTCGCGGGTTTCCGGGGAGTGACTGCGACGCGGGGGCCCGGCGATCCTCGAGAAAGCAGCGAGAGTTTCGAATTAGAATTAAGTAAAGAATTTGGGGAAGAGCTGAAGTGGAGAGGCCGGGAGTTGAAGGGAAGTCGCAGTCCCAGCGGCGGCGTGCAGCCCCCCCTCGCCCCCTGAGCGAACAGCAGCAGCAGCAGCAGCAGCAGCAGCAGCGCCCCGCATGCTGCAGCCTCTGCGGAATTTTCGTTTCTTTTGAAGAGTTGCAAAGACTTGAGCGCGCGGAGGCGAAGAGAGAGCCCGGGAGAGGCCAGAGGTTCTCAGCAGCTTTCCACCTGGACTTGTGGCTGAAGTTTGAAGATGGGTTTGGCCGTGAAAGGAGGCGCGTCGGGTTTGTGCGGAGGACTGCGGAGTTTGCTGCGGGGGCGCGCTGCTGCTGCTGCAGCGGCGCCGCTGCTGCTGCTGCTGCTGCTGCAGCAAGCCGCAGCCGCGCGCCCGCTGATCGACCCCATGAAACACGACATTGGCGTCGTTTCCGAGGCCACTTGGAGTGGAAAAGTCCTCAAGTTCCGCGACAACTCCGTTTTTTCAGTTTTGTTTTTCGACCCGCTTTCCGCGGACAGCCGCGCCCTCATCGACGGGGTGTACGACCACTTCGCCAAAAAGATGAAAGGCATTGTCCAAGTCCTCGCCGTCGACTGTTCTCAGAATTCAAAACTCTGCAAAGACCACGCGCCCTCGGGGCTCCCGCAAATCGTCATATTTCCCCCTTTTCCGCTTCCCAAGTTCACCTTTCAGGTCCGCGGTTCGATTCCCACTTCAGTTTCTTTTCAGTTTCAATTCGCTTTTGTTGTTTGCAGTTCGAGTTCAGCTCCAGTTGAGTCGAGTGCGGCTTTGACTGTGTTTAGGGCCAGTTCAAATTCTGTTTGTTCCCGTTTTGTTTATTTGTTTCGTCTTGTTTCGTTTTTGTTCCGTTTTAATTCGTTTTACTTAATTCTTTCTGTAGTTCGGTTCGGTTCCAGTTGAGTTCAAGTTCAGTCTGAGTCAAATTCAACTCCAGTGCAAAGTGCAACTCAAGTGAATTTCAATTCCACTTTAATGCACTTTCAATTCTCTTTTAATTCTGTTTTATTTGAAGTTTTATTCAAGTTTTGTGCATGTTGAGTTTCAGTTGAGTTCGAGTTGAGTTCGACTCCAGTTTAACTCTAAATCGATTTCAGTGGTATTTTAGTTTATTTTTAATTCATTTTTTAATTCATTTTAATTCGAATTTAACTCAAGTTCTGTTCAAATTCAGTGTCGATTGAGTTCAAGTCCAATTTAACTCAAATTCAGCTCCAAGTCAATTTCGATTCAATTTCAATTCAATTTTAATTCAATTTAATTCATTTTTAACTCTATTTTAACTCAAGTTTAATTCAGGTTTGGTTGAAGTGAAATTCAACTCCGGTTCACCTCAAAGTCAATTTCAATTCAAGTGGAGTTCGTTTTTAATTCCTCTTTAATTATTTATAAATTCAATTTTATTCCAAGTTTTGTTCAAGTTGAGTTGAAATCCAATCGAATTCAATTTCAAGTCAACCGCAGTTCAGTTTCGATCCAAGTTTAATCCAATTTTAATTCAAAATCCATTCAGTTTTAGTTCATTTGAATTTAATTAAATTTTAATCCAAGTTTAATTGAATTTCAAGTCTAATTAAATTTAATTGAAGTTTAATTCAGGTTTAATTAGATTTTAATTCAAGCTTAATTCAGGTTTAATTAAGTTTTAGTTCAAGCGTAATTAAATATTAATTCAAGTCAAGTTCAAGTTCAATTGAATTTTAGTCAAGTTAAGTTTAATTCGAGTTTAGTTGAATTCTAGTTCAAGTTGGATTCAAGTTAGTTAAATTCTAATTCAAGTTAAATTTTAATTAAATTTTAACTCAAGTGTAATTCAAATTTATCTAAATTTTAGTTCAAGTTAAATTTTAATTGAATTCCAATTTATTTTTAATTCAAGTTCAGTCTGGACTTGTATGACCTCTTGCCAAGTTTGCTGCTGCAGTGACTTCGTAAAAGTACTTTTTGCTGCCTTTGCAAGAAAGCTGCTGCTGCAGCTACTGCTGCTGCTACTGTTGTTGCTGCTGGTGGTTGCTGCAGCTTCCGCCGCTAGTGCAGTTGCTGCTGGAGGCTGCTGCTGCTGCTGCTGCAGCTGCTGCTGCAGCTGCTGCAGCTGCTGCTGCAGCTGCTGCAGCTGCTGCTGCAGCTGCTGCTGGCGTGTGGGTGCTGCTGCTGCTGCGCTCAGGGCCCGAAGGACGTGGAGAGTTTGTCGAAGGCGGTGCGGCCTTTGATTCCTTCGAATGTGAAGTCCGTGGCGAACCAAAAAGAGCTCGAGGCCCTCATCGCCTCCACTGTTCAAATGCCGAAGGCGCTTTTCTTTTCCGACAAACTCACCAAACCCTCCATTCTCCTCAAAGCCCTCAGCAACGCCTTCAAGGTCCGCCATTTTCCGGTCAATTCCGCCGTTTTCCAGTCAAACTTGCCATTTTCTAGACAAGTTTTGCCAGTTTGGAAACAAATCTTGCCGTTTTCTAAACAAGTTTTGCCATTTTAAGACAAGTTTTGTCTTTTTCTGCGCATTTTTCGCCATTTTCCACACAAGTCTTGCCATTTTCTGCACAAGTTTTGCTGCCTTCTGCTGAGATTTTGCCGCTGTCATTTGTGCGATGCTGAAGCATAATTTAGTTTGAAAGAATATTCAAGAGTAAATTCACCAGCATGTTATTTCTGTGCCCCGGAAAGAACATGTCTTGATTTGCTGCTGGTTGTTTCAGGACAAGCTGGCCTTTGTGTTGCTGAACAAAGACTCGTTTCCCGAGGCCGTGAAGAAGTACAAAGTGACCAGCTTTCCGCATTTGGTGGTGGTGAGAAAAGACAAAAAAGATGAAGTTTATAAAGGCGCTTTTGAATTCCAAAAGCTTTTCGACTGGCTGAATGTCTTCTCCGAAACTTTCGTCATGGGCGGCGGCTTTTCAGACACAGCGCCTCCCGCTGAAATCGACCCGGAGCTGCAGCCTTGGTGGGTTTTTCTCTCACTTCCGAAGCTCGATTCATCCTTAAGTTTAGTCAATTAGCATTATTATTATTTAAAATAACAAAGAGTTTTCCTTCTTTTTAGCGGCGTTTGCGCGCAAGTGCTGCTGGTTTCCGCGCGGATTCAGGAAAGTTGAACCGATTCCGGAACTGACCAAACAGTCCAGCCAAGACATCTGTTTCAAGAAGAGCAACAAGTTCGTTTGCGTGATGTTGGCGAAGAGGGGGCGGCAGTTGACAGGTGAGGAACAGGAAATGATGGAGTCGCTGAAGGAAGACTACGAGGGCCACCAAGACAAGGGCCCGGACTTCCGCTTCATGTGGATCGATCTCGACACCGAAACCGAATGGGCTGAGCTCTTCGACATCAAAAACACCCCCACTGTCGTTGCAGTTAATCCGCACAAGAAAGTTCGCTTTCTGAAGCTCGCAGCCGATTTGCCGGTGAGGAGCTTCGCAGCGGATCGGCTGCTGCTTTCTTGTGCAACGGAACCATTTCTGAATTGAGGGGGCCGTGGGGGGTGCTGTCGAGACACTCTGGAGTCTTTAAAGGAATATGATTTGGTGTTTATGTGGGGTTTTAATTTATGAAAGAATTTAGTTAATGTTTATGTGGCGATTCGAGGTTTGCGTGCAAATGTGCTGCAGGCAACGAAGCCGCACATCCGAAAAATGCTGGGAACCATCTCAAGCGGAGATGCGCGATTCAAGATTGTGCCTCAAGCAAAAGTGCCGAAGTTTGTGGACAGAAAAGAGGCAAAAGAAGATGCGAAAAAGTCGGAAACAAAGAAAGAAGAGCTTTAGACTGCGCCCTCCGGTTTCGGCAGTTACCGGGGCGCGTGAGGGGCGCCCGCAGCTTCCCGCAGAGGCTCACGCAGTTGCAGACTTGAACAGGAAAAGGAAAAAGAGAAAAAAGAAAAAATGGCCGCAGCTCTTCACTTTATTCAGCCACCGAGACAGAATTGCAAACTTTTGGCTCTGCAGCGCTGCAGCCAGCAGAACGAACTTGTTCACAACTCCCCCGCAGCTCTCAACTCCTCCGGGCCCGTGCAAACTCTGTGTGCGCCCGGGAAGCGCTCCATACAAAAACAAATGACTTGTGTGCCAATTTCGGCACGAATTTTCTGGGTCGAGGGGTGGCGTTTCGGGGGCTGCTGCTGCAGCACTTGTTGCATTCTAGAGTAGATCTGCAGTTTCTGCGTTAGAAAGTTGCTGCACTCTGAAGTTAAAGTGTAGCTGCTCAAGAATTGCTTTATTAGCAGCTCTTGGCTGCGATTTCCGGAAAGTGGCACTGGCGGGACAGCCACTGAGGCTTGCTGAACTCGAGAAAGTCTAGCTGACGAAGTTGCATGCAGTTCAAAACGGCAGATCCGATAGCGCCAAGTGCGGCAGCGCCGGAGTTGTTAAAGCTCGACGATTCAACATCCACTTTTGCGGAAAGCTGCAAAAGCTAAAGCTGCTCGCGCAGAGGCCTTCTTAGCCCCTGCAGCAAATGGCTCTTGAGAACGTTGCGGGGAAACTCGAACAAGAAGAGCCCGCGCTGAAGAGGAACTGCTGGCAGAACAAGGCTTGCTGTGCGGAATAAAGAGGAGCTGCAGTTCGCCTCATTTTTGCAACTTTTGGAAACAAAAATGCGGGAAATTGTGGGACAGCTGGGCCGCCGAAGGCGCCGCGTGGGGAGCAGCAGGACACATACTTTACTCGCGCTGTGCAGTTTCGCTAGTTCTGTATAAGCTGCCTTCAGGCAGTCACTCCGAACGAATGTTGGCAAGTCCAACGAGGGTTCTGTACAAACCGCCTTTGATTTGCATCAGTTCGTCGTGAGTTCCCACTTCCGCGACGCGGCTTCCGCGCTTGTCTTCGTTCGTCAGAACCACAATTTTATCTGAATGCAGCAGCCTCGACGCGCACTTAGGCTCTAAAGAGCTTCGAAAGGCTTTTAATTTCTATTTAAATGCCTTTTTAACGCCAACTGGCTCAGTTCTGACGAAGGTTCGACGAGAAATGCACTTACCGGCGTTGCGAACAGTGGACAGCCTGTGGGCAATTATGATCGTGCTGCGCTTCTCCGCCGCCAGCAGCTCGTCAATCGTCTGCTGCACTATCTTTTCGCTTTCCACATCCAGTGCAGATGTGGCCTCATCTAAAATAAGAAGACGAGGCTTCCTGATCAGCGCTCTGAAGAAATCAGGCCGTCGACAGAAGACCTGTCTGCCTGGGATTCAGCTTTCCAGCTTACGGCTGGGCGTGCTTTGGGTAGAAGGGAACCACAAAAAGCAACAATACGCACAACTTCAAGAACTACCTTCAAAAAGGAACACACCTTGCAATTGCAATCCGTTGTTTCTGCCCTCCAGATAGCTGCGCTCCGCCTGATCCCACATTGGTGTCGTAGCCAGCGGGGAAAGTTGAAATGAATCCAGCAGCATTTGCGAGCTTCGCTGCCTCTCGAATTTCTTCCTGCAGCGCAAAAGAAGCAGCAAAGTGATTTATGCGAGCAGCAAAAGCTCTGCCAGATGCAATAAGAACCGGAAGTCCCTCCATTGGGAAAACTCTGGCAAAGAATGAATGTCGTTTCGTCTTCAGGAAGCTAACAGCCACGGAAACACAGAAGAACCACACAATACTGTCTGAATTTCTTGCATTACTCAGAAACTTCTTGCATTTGAAACCTCATTTACCTGAGTGGCCCCTGGCTTGGATATCGCAATGTTTTCTTCAATTGTCATGTCAAAAAGAATAGGTTCTTGGCTAACCAGACCCTCCTGCTGGCGGACTGACCTGCGGAAGCCACATGGCAAAGCACTAAACCCTAAACCGTAAAACCCTAAACCCGAAAACCCTAAACCCTGAGCGCTAAACGCTAAGCCCTCTGCGTTAAATCCTGAACGCTAAAACCCTAAACCCTGAAAACCCTAAACCCTAAACCAGGCATTGGGGTCAAATCTTTCAGTGTGCTTCTTTTCAGCACGGAAAATATAAAATGAATTATTAAATTGCAGCCACTTACACAACATTAAGTTCACGAAGGTCATCGCCGTCCAGCAGAATCCTCCCCTCGCTGATGTGCACGCGTTCAGCTTCTTTGTTCGGCTCCCCCTGCTCTGACTGAGACACCGGCTTGACTTTGTAGGTGCTTTTCAAGTCATAAAAGCGTTCCTGTAGCGAAACAAATGCAAATATGCTGGTAGCTTCAAATTTACATCGAAAAACTGCAAGTTTCTCTTCAGGATCTGATGCCTCGTGGCTGAATTCTCCTCGGCAGCAGCAAAGTCGGCAGAATTCAACTTACCACCAGCTGCACAATGGTGGACTTTCCACAACCCGAAGCCCCAACTAAAGCAACAGCTTCGCCTTCCTTGATGGAAAATGTGAGATTTCTGTAGACCTGAGATTGTGCAAAAAAGGACCGAAAGGCTTTCAAATGCGAACAGCTGCTGCTTGCTGCTGCAGCAGCAGAAACAGCAGAGTAATCTTCCAAAAGGATATTACTTTGCTGCTTATTATAACAAACTAATCTCCCAAATGGGGGTTAATTTGCTGCTTATTAGAGTATAGTAAACTCTCAAAGAGGAATGGTTTGCTGCCTGTTAGACCAGAGAATTGTGAAATGAGCAGCAGCACCAACTCACTCTATTGTCGGGTCTCGTGGGGTAAGTGAAGTTGATGCGGTCAACATCTATCTCTCCTTTGAATGTCTCGTGGCTTAAAACTTTCCCTCCGGAGTCGCGCACGTCGATCTCGGAGGGCTGAGCAGCAACAACGGCCAGCCCAACATTTCCGGAAAATTGTTCATTTCAAGACTGAGGCAAACTCGTATTCTGGATTTTTCTCAATTGAGACAAATTCTAAATATGAAACGAAACTGAAACTCACTCTGTCTATCAGGTCGTACACACGGCGGCCCGCAGCTGTCGCTTTCCCCGAATCCGTTGTGAACAGAACAGTTTGTCCAACAGACGAGACCGCGAAAGTAAGCGCGAAGATTGTCTGCGTGACCACTGGGCCATCAGAAGCAGTTCACACGCAAAGTGTGTGCACATTCTTGAAACTTATTCAAAAAGAATGCACAGAATCGAATCAGCTGTGAAATGAACAGTTTGTCCAATGCACGGGAGCCCCAAGTCACCCCGAGATTGTCTGAGTGACCACTGGACCAACAGGAACAGTTCACACCCGAAGTGCATGCAGATTCTTGAATATCTTTCCAGAAGAATTCTCGCGTTCTGAACATTTTCTAGTTTCCTAAAACCCACCTTCAGATTTCACACCCTCTTCAGCCACCAGCTTGCCGCCGTACCACAACGCGAGACAGTTCACGAAAAAGTTTACTGCCTGTGGCACATGTCATCCCAAAAGAAAGCTGCATTTGCTTTTCAGTTTCTAGCTATATATATATATATATAATATATATATTAGTAATATATATTATAAACATATAATATATTGCACATATTATATACTAGACATGGTATTTGTATTTGATTTCACCTGGCTAAAGCCGTAGGCAAGCCCCAGGACAAGTCCTTCTTTGACCTTCGTCGACTGTTCCTTCTCAATGTTTTCGACGTAGCTTTTGATGAATACCTGTCGCGGGAAGCCAGCAGAGCATTTCCAACAAATAGACTTTCATCTACATTTTCGGAGCTTTGGGAGGATAATAATCGATAAAAGTAATAGTAATAATAATAATAATAAATAAATAGGGTAATAAAGACATGAAAATGCTCACCTCTTCAAGACCAAACGCACTGACCACCCGGATTCCAGAAGTTGCCTGGTTCATGATCATGGGGGCGCCTTTCACTTCATCACCGTGTCGTACTTTGTGTGTAGGTGCTGGGTCTGCGTGATCAAAACGATATTTCAGGCAATAAAGAAACCTAGAGAAAAGTGATATTTATTGAGCACTTTACAATAAAGAAATCTTGACAAAAATGATATTTATTTAGCACTTTATTGGTAAAGAAATAGGGCCAGCAACGTTCTTGGAAGCGGTGGCGGGAAACGTACTGCCCATTTTGGCCTCGATGACGTTAGCCGGAACCAATAGCACGCAAAACGCGAGGATGACCAGAGCCAGCCTCCACTCGCCGCAGAACGCAATAATAAGACCTGCAACCACAAATGCAGCAACAAAAACGGTGGCAGAAAGCTAAATTTGCTGGAGGTTCACTGCAGCACTTCCCGCTTTCCAAACTCTTGCGCTTCGTTGCTGCCCACCGGTGGCGAATGATGCAAAAACTTGAACGACCGAAACCACGTTGCCGGTGCATCCAACCTTGACGTCGAGGACATCCGCACTCAGAATGCTGCACAATTTCCCTGAAAAAAGGCAAAATGCGCATTCGCTGGCCGTTTCTGTCACTTGTTACAACTTGTCTCACTGACATTGATGGCTGCTGCTGGTCAGAACAAGACAGGCACCTGCATTGTTTTCAGTCAAATCGAAGAAGGCAATGTCTTGGTGAACGGTTTGGTGGAAAGCCCTTTCTCGTAAAGCCGTTGCGACTTTATAGCCACAGAAATCTATGCCGAAGATCTTGATTGCGTCCACTATTCCTTGGGCGAATCCCAGGCCAACGAGAATCAACGCCCACTTCGCAACCTGGAAAACCAGTAAAAATATTTTAAAAAGCTTCTAAGAGTATTCCTAACTACACAAAACTGCGAATAAGTAGACGACAGGCAAGGGCGAACGCAATGAAGCACGAATGGAGGACTCCTGGAGCTTTTTTGGAGCATGTGTGTTCCATGTTATGTATGTTCCATTATTTAAATTTGGTCTTTTAAAACTATTATACGACATACTCCATCACGAATGGCCTGAGGATCAGGGCTGAAGTAGGTGGAGATGAAGTGCGCGAACGAGTAGCCGAAGACAGGGAAGATGACACTGTGGACAGAAAACGCAAAAATTGATCAACGAAAACGCAATAAGTCAATGAATCACATCAAAATGCCAACATCGTACTGCCAAGTGGAAGCAAACAAAACAAAGAAGTATGGAAGGTGAGCTGACGAGGAGTTAAAGGAGAATTGAGCTTTAAATGCAGCCGTACCCAGCACAAGCTGCTGCAATAAGAGTCAGGAGCACAACTGCCCAGTGCTTCAAAATAATCCTGTAGGTGCGAAAATTCGGGCTGTGCGTCAGTGATCGAGAAGCACGAGCAATAGACCCTCCTAAGCGTTTACAAAACACACACAGGAGCAGCCTTAGCGTAATCCAATACGTCGGAAATGACAGCTAGCTCCGTTTTTCCTTGGTCTCGACTTGCTGACAAAGTTACGAGGTGCTTACGATAAGTAACTCTTGTTTTGGCACTTACCCACATGTTTCATGGACTCCCGCCACGTCTGCCACCACAAAAGTATACAGCAGGACAACTGTATCATTCAGCTCCAGTGGAAGGACTACATAGGTCTGAATTTGAGCAAAAGTAACTTTGAAGGTTTCAAACTGGCGGCCAATCAAGTACGCAATTCTATATTGAGCGGAAACACGCTGTTGAAGTTCCTACGCTATTGAGTCCTCCTGTGACGTTGAGTACATTTGTTGAGCTCAACGGCCCATTGACACTTGTCGACATTTCCTTCGAAATAGGGAAAGTCGTACTTGCGAACTTTCTGCTACTACTGAACTCCCATGAAATGGGAAGACGAAGTGAAGCTACTTGCATCCCTATCAAGATGCTTTACCTGGTTCGGTGCAGCGGCCTCGATATCATCAACTTCAGACTCTTCCCGCTTGACTTGTTGAGGTTTCGTGTCATCCTCAGTTTCCTCGACGGTGGGGACAATCTGGCTGGAGACTAAGTGATAATACAGCCCTGACTGTAAGACAAAACACAAAACTTCCGCCCTTCTAAAACTCCAAGAACTGCTTTGCATGTAAAGTAAAGTGAGTAACAAGTAGCATGCTGAAAGCAATAAAGCCTGTTGCGCAACTAAAGGTTCAAATTCACTAAAACGTGAATGAAATAGCACAAGACTCACCGTGTCTTTCATAAGCTCGTGGTGAGTTCCCTGCTGTGCGACAGTAGCTCCTTGAGGCGATGGCTCCAGCACGATAATAAGGTCTGCATTCTGGATTGTACTGAGGCGGTGGGCAACAATCAGTGTTGTAGCTTTGCTTGTTTGAACCAGTGCGTCAAGAGCTTCCTGACAAGGCAGCCACAAAACAATTTCATCTTCATATTAAGGCACTGTTGAAATTGTTGAAGGGCACTTCCAATAGATTTAATATGCGTAAGGATGAGATTACACCCACCTGGACGACCCTCTCAGATTGAGTGTCCAGAGCGGAAGTGGCTTCATCGAAAATCAAAATGTTCGGACGACGGATCTGAGCAGTGCAGCAGCATAAGTTGGAGCCATGCAAGCATTTGCTGTTCAAAGTGGGTTACTAGTCGAATGTTCGAGTTTGTGTGTGCACTTCAGCAGAACCTATAAAATAAACATAATTATATCGAGAAATATAATCGCATTTATCACTACAAGCCCGCTTGCAGTTCCCTTTAGAATGCTTTTGACTAAGATGACATACAAGTGCTCTCGCGATAGCAATACGCTGCTTCTGACCGCCCGACAGTTGTCCTCCGTAGGCGCCGCAGTCCGTCTCATATCCTTCAGGGAAGCGGGTAATGAACCCATCAGCGTTTGCCTCTTTGGCTGCTGCGATCACTTGCTCCATAGTCACTGGATCCGGTGACCCAAGTTCTATATTTTTTCTCACCTAACCCAGTACAGAAATGAGGCACAAGGACCACCGTGCTGTGCCAACAGTGTGCAGGAGCGACTATTGGGCGGCGCCATCACGTACATAGTGCGTTACGAAGTTCAAGAGAAAATTTACAGCGTCACATGCTACTAGACTTCACTTCTCGCATGTGTGCATTCCACAGTTCCACAATAAAGAAGATGAAGCTCACGGTGGTTGAAAAAAGTCTTGGCTCTTGACTGACGACCCCTAGGTGTCGCCTTAGAGTTGCCACGTTGATGTCCCGAGTCGGTCTAAGGAGGCACAAAGAAGGGTGAACAAGAGTTGCTAGAAGCTGAATTTAATCAGCACGCTATATTACCACTTTAAATGTGATTTGCCCATGTAAAAATGTGTTTGTACTTACATGCCGCCAACGGTGATAGTACCACTATCGCAGTCGTACACTCGTTGAAGCAGCTGCAGAATAGTCGACTTGCCGCAGCCTGCAGGCACATCAAAAACTTCTGCAGCAGCACCTCTGGGTATCACTGTGGTCTTCTTAAACTCGATAAGTTTAGTGTAACTGCAGCAGATAACCTATTTTGGATGTAACTTGTCAATAAGGAATGCTCACCGGAGCCTCCCACAAGCGCTACGCACTTTCCCGCCGGGATACGAAGGTTCAAATTGGTAAAAATAGGACGATCTGGTCGGGATGGGTAGGAAAATGCAACATTTTTGAACTCGATATCTCCATCAAGTTTGACATCCGTCTGCAAGAACGCGTCCGCAGGCCAAATGCCTGTATTTCCCGACTTTAAAAAGAATGCAGTTTATTTCAAAGTGGAGAATCGTGCCTGCCGACGCAAGGCGGCACGTTGTAGTGCCCCTTTGCCCACTATAGTTATCCTAATACTTGTCGCGGGTGGCACTTCACTACTTACACGGCCTCCGCTGGCAAGCGGGTCAATGGCTGAAGTCCGTCCGATGACTTCTTCCAAATCCATTGCCGCAGTATTTGCCTAAAAGCAGAGCAGACAAAAGACAAGCTACAATGCAGCCATTCTATCTAGTGCAACTGACTCTCTGCTCTGTTTCTGCTAGAATGAGTACCCACTGCCTTTCTAGTCACATGCAGTTGCTGGTTCACTGAAGTAGATATGCTAACCTTGACCAACGCCGTGACATTGTTGATGATTTGACCCAGAGAAAATGCTCCGATGAAAATGCAAAAGAAGACTGTAATTGCACTTGCACCCGAGAACTCCGGCTTTGGCCACGTAGAAGGATCGTTTTCGTCCACTGGAACTGTCAAGACTAAAGAGAAAAACAAAGAACACAGCTAATGTCCTTAGTTACCCACAGTTCTCAATCAAGTCTAGACTAAGCATGAGACGCGAACTAATGCGAGTAGTTTGTACTGACGAGACTGATCAATTTCATCGGCCAAAGAACGAAACCCTGGGCGTACCTTTAAGAGCATCCTCTGTGCTGTTGGCCAGAAGCTCTCCTCCATACCACAAGGCCAAAGAGCTCATCAAGAACATTGAGGTCATCAACCCAGCCAGGCCTGCATGAAGTAATTTGCGAGATGCAGTGCATGAGATATCAGCTTTTTACTCCTTGCATCTGCTTTGCCAAGACATGTTGAAAAAGAAGCTCCCACTGCAGAAGCGTATGAGCTCACCCAATGCCACCCAAAAGGTTGCATGAAGCGCGGCCCGTTCAGCTTCCTCGAGCTTGCTTTTATATTTCTGTGACATTAATCCTTCTATTCCAAGAGATACGACTGTTCTTATTGACATAAACGCCTCCTCACTAACGCTTCCAGCACTGGCGTAGGAATCCATAGCTGTTGTTGGGGAATTACATGCACAGCACAGGAGGAAACGCGCACACAAAATCCAGATCATATGAGTACTGACAACATTAAGCAATGATATGCCTGGCGTTGTCGTTGGCAACTGTCCCCAGAAAGTTCTTGAAGGGCGGCTTACTGTCGCTTTCCTGCTTGCGAACAGCCCAACCAACCAAGAGGCCAAAACCTAAGACAACGGGAACTGCCGCCGCAGAGACAAGCGTAAGCTTCCAGCTTTTAATAAAACCAACAGCAATGGCGCCAACAACCACTGTGGAAAGCTGAATAAGCTGCATGCATGGGAAGACATTCATGCGCTGCACAACCGGGTTTCGAAGCATAAGCCATTGTGGGCGGTGGCGGAGAAATAAGTTTTTGTGGCCACGTTTTTACCGCCAATGTGTGCTGTCGGGGATAAGTTGCGTCTTTGGCAGGCAAACCAGCTCTAGAAAGCTGCAATACTGTCGAATCAAGACTTCCACTCAACCAAAATCCGTGAATAAAGCCTCACCATTGACAGTTTCAACCCGATTCCGCTCCGGATGGAAGCCACATTCGCTTCCATGCGTGAAGCTAAGCTGGCCACGTTGGACTGGTCATACCAAGCCATTTCCTGAGTCAAGTTCAACATGCGCGAGCATGCATCAGCGTTCGAGCCCTTCACCAAGTTCTCACTTCAATAGAGCAGATGCAAATAAAGTCGGACCTGTCGAATAATCGACTTAAAATAAGATTCCTTGAACGCCTTCGACTGTCTATCGGCGACGATTTCAAAACAAGACGTCGAAATCCAAGCTGCGATGAAGGCTCCAAACTGCGCAAACACAGAACACAAGCATACGAAAGTCCGGGCATTTTTGTTTCAGTACAGATACCCCCACTTGCTCTAAGGAATACGGCTGCTCTGTAGTGCAAACATTTGAAAGAACAAGATCTAGTTTTGAGCAGCATTTGATGGATTCGTCCCGAGCCTACTCCTAGCCAAGCCATGATTTTAACATAGTAGCTGGTGTCCAGAGTCGTGCTCATTTCCTCAAGAAGGTTGCCAAAAATGAGAAAGAAGACCGGCTGAGAACAAAATTTGGCAAAAATATTCAAAAGGGGGGCCAATAGAGGACAAAGATGCGGGAGAATTGAGACGGGATGCAGATGAACGCAGTTCAAAACATAGTTTTTGCCAAAGACGAAATTGCAAACTGTGATTATTTACTCCGCTGGACCGAACGCCTTACCAACAAAGCCCCGACGCTGGCACTGGCAGTGCCTCCACAAAGAATCAAGACAATATCCAGTTTACTCGCATGCCTGCAGCAAGTAAAGTAAGTGCAGCTCTTTTTATAAGATCCAGGCATACACAAGATCACACCCAATCCACTCTAACTATAACATTATTTGGGAAAATTTGCTGCATTTATTCATCAAAGACCGACCTGAAGGAAGCGAAAATGTCGTCGTGCCATCCAGACTTTTTACGATGCTTCGGCTGCGTCAGTGTCACAAGCAAATTACTTGTGCAGCGTTAGTCTGCTGAACAGCACAGCTGCACTCGCCAAGAGGTATACTCAAATGCAGATCATCGCTTGTGTCTGTAGTTCACCTCGTCTGCAGCCCGTTTGTACTTCACGGCGTTTTCAGATATCTCCAACGCACGCTGGTCCTTGCTGGTCTTCGGGGCCACGTTCGCATTGTTTTCCCCAGCACCTGGAGGGGCTTCTGCAGGGTTTAGCTCTTGAGGGGCATCAGCAGCATTTTGGTCGCTCTGTGGCAGCATAGAGGAGCTCTCAGGCTCCGCAGGATTCTTCGAATCACTCATTTTGCCGCCTTAAGAGCTGGTCCCAGTGAAAGCTGTGGCCGCTGTCGAAGACAATCTGGGCCAGAACAACGGGGCCACAGCAGAACGATGAAAGTGCTAGTCCACGGCACTTTCCTGATGAGCACTTTGAGCAGGAGGAAGCCGAAGAAGTCACACGATAGTCAGCTACAACAGAACAACAGTCTCAGCTTAGCCAGTCCCACTCCGTCCAGCTGAAGCAGGGCTGTCTCGAGAGTATTGCGAAATATTTATAAAAATATTGCGCGGAGTGACTCAGCAGATCGAATTTTCAAATCTGTAGAACAGGATAAAATGTGCGCATCAACATCGCCAAGGAACTTTGGATCCTTGATTGCACACAAGCTGTTCCAACGGACTGCGGAGCACTGAAAGCACAGAATTTCGCGTCCGACTTAAACCCAGAAGTACCAATACTATTTCCTGGGGGCATTTATGGTAAATTGAGAGCAAATTGCCGCTGATTCGGCAGGTGTGTAGCTGGAGGAGCTATGTCTGTTGAAACAGGCCAGCTTGGCAGTAGTGCGATCAGGGGATCCTAGCTCGCTAAATAGCAACAAAAGAGGCATATTATATGAGTATAAAATCCATTTCTACGGAGAAATAAGCCCCTGCAAGCATTAGCTAGCTGATGTCGGGGACCGCAGTTCCGTACACTACACACAGGTAACGAAGGTGGTTGCGCCTCATGCCACCAACACAGACTTCTGTCACGCCAGAAGCCTTCTTGGGGCTTCATTTTGTTTTCAGCCGAAAAGCAGAATAATCCAACGGTCGGCGCATAACACTTTACTTCTATCTGCACCCGAGTTGAAGAAAAACCGAATTCACTACAAGCCTCACCTTCAATCCGTACCAGTTTGTCACCAGGGCCTGCCAACAACTTGACGTGCTACCCTCAGAAACCCTAAACTTCAATAAAACGGTTCAGAATAAAGGTGGTGTTCGTCTTTAGGCAGTGTGCGTAGTGCTGTGTTCCTTCTTCGAACCCGCCCTTCTCGCTGGGGCTTTGCTACGGAACGAGCTCATCCATGGTGACAGACTAGCTGCAGTCACTGAAAGTAAACAATGATTTAGGCCGACAGAAACTTAAGCGAGAGTGCACAGTGCTCGGAAAAATTCAGGAGGGAGGAGTAGTGCGGGTACACGGGGTGGGAACTATCGGACTGTCATTTCAGCGGCTCATTGGATTGGGGATGGGATGCAGCATCACCCCAGACCGGTCCTAAAAACTCCTTAACCAGAGCTTGATGCTTTTACCTGTTCCACTCAACTGTACAAATGTGCCTCCCTCACCCGCATATCACGCGCCCCGGCGCGCCGAGCGTGGCTCCTTACTAGTCAATTGGTGCTCTGATCCAACTGGTCTTGAGTGCTGAACTACAGCCGTTTGCCCCCGGACAAGGGGCTATTTATTGTGCTGATTGGAAACAGCCAATTTTACAGAAACTTGCCATCTGCTTTTCAGTGCACACGCCCGACATCCTCTATCGTGAGGTCTTCAACTCTCTAGCCCCTATTTCCAGTATTTCCTCATGCAGAACTCTGGTATCTGCGCTTCTTCATGGCGCGGCACCTCACAAGCGGCGTGGAACAGACTTTACCGGAGAAGCCTTCTGCAGACGGGTTCTTTGTACCCGGCCTCTGGTTCCTAGCTCGCTTTCCGCGGAAATACAACAACTGCTTTCCCCTATGACAATCATATATGGTGAATATAAGGCGAAGGGCCTCTAACACTGTAGGATATACACCAGGCTAGCTGAAGATACTTCACTTTGACCCCTAAAGGCTGCAGCTCTCCACTGCTAACCGGGGATGCGCAAGGCATTTGGGACCGCTTCCCAGCTTCATAAGCGAGCCAGCTTCCTCAAGTAGAATTGCAGTTTGTTTAAATAAGCAAAATATAAATTATGTACTCTAAATGCACAAGCTTTCCTCGGGAAACGTGAGGGCGCTGGTTTCCCGAATGCTCAAAGTGCCTTTTGGCAGAGCTCAAAGCTGAAGCTGGATTCTGAGGGCACGAAATGAGCCTGTCTTCCGGACCTCCATATAAGCGGGCACATGACCATTGGTCCATGTTAGACGAAAGCTCAAGCATGCGCATTCCTCATGCACATAATGATTGTTTTCAATGAAATTTGAGGATTTGTTGAATAGACGCTGAAAGTGCACTGGAGGCCCATTGTTTTCGCTACTAAAGCAATGTCCAAAGGCTTCATTGAAACTAAGCAGTGGTTGTGAATGCTAGCTTTAGTGCCTCATGCTTCAAACTGCTTCACTGTCAGCTGATCCATAGCCTACCATGGTGCAGCACAAGTGTTTCCACGCACAGAAACAAACCTGCCATTATAAGCGTAGCTCTGTTTGTTACTGGACACCAGGGACAGGCTCTTAACAGGAAAGCTGGAGCCCCTATTACTGCAACGCAAATTCAGAACGAGAAAGGCAGCTGTTTCTTCTTTCTGCAGTTACGCTGCTGCTGGACATTCCCAGTCCAATGGCTTTCTAGCTAGGTCTCTGACTCCATTGCAAAGCCTGTGCAGAATTTGCAAATCTGGGAAAAGGTCCACTGGTCCGCTTTATTATTGTGCTGCTCTGTAGACAGCCTAGGCTGTGGTGCCCCAGTTTGCTCCCCTCAGTTTCCAGTTGGCCAATGCTCTCAGCAGTCATGCCACTAGTGGACCCATTGGCTGTAAGTTACCTCCACAGGGTTCGCGGCCCGAAAAATCCCCCCAAAAGTCTTTTAGATGTTATAAAAGTCTTTTAAATGTTATAGAAGTCTTTCAAAAATACTTTTTAATGAAAGCCAGTGCAGCAATGACATGAAAACTACGCAGATGCTGCAGCCCAGCATATTGAATACAGCTTGCCGGCGAGACACTGACAGACTGAAGCAGCTGACTCTATTGATCGTATGACCTTCCCCTAAATAAGCAGCTGCACTCTGCGGAAGTATCGACTGACTTCAGATTTTGTTGCTTCCTCAAATCTCGCGGGGAAAGCTGAGGGTGTTCAACAGTTTACTGCTCGAAAAGCCAACATGAAATGACGGAGTGGCTTTATCGAATTACATATTTTCAATTATTTTGTTTAGAATTGCAAGAAATGGAGGTAGCAGGACATAGGGGCAGCGGTTAATTTGCAGATCTCGGAAGTTGAACTGCAGGGTACTGGCTGGGGGCCCCACGCGGAGGTGAGGATACACTGCAGCGCTGGTGTTGAAGTTTCCACTAATGGAGGCTACTTTGTATTTTATTGAATCTTTTTGTTGAAATATTCTATACCAAGAGCTGAAGTTCCTCAAAGTGCAGTCAGCCACGCGGCCACTACCCTCTAGGAGAACCTGCAAAGGAGAGGGCAGGAAGGATGGACCCCTCGGAGGCGATTCCCGTCTTAATGGGCTTCGCCGGTAAATCTTCGCTTTCTTGTCGGCTTTTGCAATTATCTTTTTTGAAAAGAATTGAGCTGCACGAAGACGCTTTCTGTGCAGCCAAAGACAGCTTCTAATCCGCGAAAGAGCCCCCAATTGCCAGCAAATAGGACCAACTTTTAAAGCTAGAGCTGCTTCTGCAGCCCCACTTTTGCTGCTGCTGGAGTCCCAGCGTACACGCTAAGGATGAGTCACTGCTGCTGGGGCTGCCGGCAGCTGCTGCTGTCCCCAGAAGCGGGCCTTTTCCCTTTCACCCACTTAATTGGACACAGACTTTTATATCTGATGGCTTTGCACTAAACGCTGCTTTTGAAGCCCCTCTTCATGTGGCTGTATGTACACTGCGCTGCCTTGCGTCTGGCTGGTGCCATTAGGGATCCCCGATGCCGACACTGCGCGGCGTTTCTTAGAGGTAAGCAGTTCCAAATTACTTTTAAAAATGTCTGAGACGGAGGAACTAAATACCAAATGATTGCTTTTCCCCCCATGTTCTCGCGGAGTCCTGAGGGCCCCCCCTTCTACCCACGTGGCCGTGGGAAGTGGAGGGAAATGCGAGCCTTTTGTCTTCTTTTTTAATTGTTTAATTGCAGCGAGCTGGAGGCGACATTAATGTAGCAGCTTCCCTCTACGTGGACAGCACGGCGGGGAACGACAGGGGCAGCACTCCAGTGGAGCCTGTGGAGGAGTTGAGAGCCCCAGATCCAGAATATTCACAAACTCTTTTGAGTGAGTTTCTCGTTTTCCTTTTTGCATACGTGCTGCTGCAGCGAATTGTGAATTTTTTACTTAAGACTTAATTGAAAAGCAAGTGCGAGTTGAATGACCCCCCTGCACTGTCTGTACTGCTCGGCAAAACTGGATGCTTGATTCCGGTATTCAGTTGCAAAAAACTTTCGAAATATACACTTTTTGCGCTTTTGTTTGTTTTTTGTCAAATAATTCTTCTCAGGCCCTTCGTTTCATCAAGGAGGCCTGGGCGGAGGCTCCACAGGCTGTAAGATCACTCAGCTGTCTAGACACCGGAATGCATGAAGGGCGGAGGGTTTCGTTGGACGATGCGGCGTTCAATTTGCAATTTTGCGCAAAAATATCTTCAAATTTCGCGTTCTTTTATTTTTAGTTCAAGTTCGCGGGGCACATTCTGTTGTGAATAGACACTCCACGAAATGTAACTACACTCGCCGTGGAGTCGTCGGCTGGCACTGTGGCATTTCGCGAACTTTTTGAATTGCCGGGTGGACTGTCTTGCCCAGAGCCTTTTTCCCGAGTAAGCTGCAGCAGCCGGGAGTGCAGCAAGTTGAAAAGTTAACTTTGATGCATGCAAGTTTTATTTCCTTTCCAAATTAATTTTGCCTTTTCTTTGGTGGCTGCTGCCACTGCAGGTCCTGTGTGAGTGTCCATTTTTTGACCAGGAAATGCAAAAGAGCTTTCTTGCATTGCGCACATTCAAATTTGGTTGCTTTCAATTATTAGAGTTTTAGGAAACTTGTTGAAAATTCGCAAAATTTTTTCTGCGGGGGTTTATGAACTGCCGCAGGCTAGAGAGCTGGCCCGAGCCCAGAAGAAATGGCTGCTGGTTAGCATTCAGCAGGTGGACGCCTTTGAGTCTCTGCGACTCAACAGAGACATCTGGAAGGCAGAAGTAGTTCAGGTTAGTACTTTTGGAGTTCTTGGTCTGTGCCATTTAATTTATTTCTCTTAATTCGAAATGAACTCACTTGAATAGTTTGGAAGCAGTTAGGGCGGGCCTAGTCCGAGGCAGAGCCCCCGGGGGGCCCCGGGGGGTCCCCCCTGGGAGGCCCCCAAAAGTTGTATAGCATTTCTTTTGGGCTAGGCCAACTCTGTTGTAGACTGAGGGCTTACTGGAACGCGAAAGGCTTTTGTTTGTGCCTCCAGTGCCTTTGCTTTGCGTTTTAGGACTTGATAAAAGACTTTTTCATCTTTTGGCAAAGAACTGACAAGTGCGAGGAAGGTCAAATTTTCCTTGACGTCTACCGCGTGGGTACTCCCCTGCCGATCCGCTTTCCACTTGCATTTTTTTTTTGTATTTCTGCATTATTTGCATTTATTTTTTTTGTTTCAGGTCACTTCCTTGCCGCATGTATGCGCAATTGACCCGCTCACTGGCCGTTGTTTGAAGATATGGAGCCCCCGGGTGCTCAGCGACCCGATCGCCGTGCAGTCCGAGTGTACGTACACCTCAGCTTTCCCGCGCACCGCCTGTTGCACACTTGGTCCAGTGTGGCATCCGATGTATTGCCGCACAATTTTGCATATCAATTCTGTGTTTTCCTGCGTTTTTTTCAGTTTTCGAATTTGTTGAACGCCAGCAGATGGCTGAACGGAGTAGGAATCCAGACCCGAAGCCGTCAGAAGGACCTGCTGAGGTTTCTTCATCGACAAAGCCCTCTTCTGCTTCTGCTGCATGCGTAGCATCTGACGATGCCCCCGGCAGCTCCTCTTCAAAGGCAGCAGCTTCAGCAGCAAGTGCTGCAGCACCTGCTGCTGCTGATGGCAGCAAAGGGAGAGCAGAGGGGGAACCACTTGGCTCCCAGAGTTGTGAATCTCAGCCTTCTGCATACAAGGATGTGAATTTGCAGCTGCAAGACCTTATGAAGCTGCGTGAACAGAGGCGGCAGCGGCAAATGAATTCAAGTCCTTCAACCTAACAGACTTCAATTGGAAACTTCTGAACTTGCCCTTTTGGCCCGCTGCTCTCCGCAGCGCCTGGCCTCTTAACAACAACAAGTGTTGGGCTCTTTCTGAGTTTTGGGTTGCTCAAGGTCCCAGCGTTGTTAACCATCCTGCTTTTATTTTGCTGCTACTTTCCCTCCGTTTTTGTTTTTTACATATTATGACTTCAGCATTTTGTTGCAGTGTGGAGTTTGAAACTGATTAGCTGCTGCAATCATTTTACGCCATAGGTGAAGCTTAAGAACACTGATCCCAGCCAGATACAACCCATACATATATATATATGTATATTAATATATATTATACATTATATAATAAATATAGTCTATATTATATATTTATCTTATATGTATATATATTATGTAATGTATATATATATACGCCTTTGCAGAAGCAAGCTGAGGCTTCCGTACTTTCGTACTTAATCGGATTTCGGTGTTCTGCTGCGTAGGGAACTCCTGGTGCAGTTTGCCGCAGCACAAATAGGCCTTCTTTGGGTTAATTGTTTCGCCAGAGACATTTTTGGTGTGCTGCGGAGTTGCACAGAAGCTGCCTCGAGAGGGCAGCAGCTTAGTGAAGCACTACAGCTCATGAGAAAGCAGCAAATTAGTAAATGAGAAGAAGCTTCTGTTGACAAGATATAGGGGGGAGGAAGCCAGGGAGAAGTGTGGGGGGAATTTGCAAAGTTGGAGGCCAGTTGTGCAAAGAAATAAATGCAAAAGATGCAAAAGTGGAAAAGATGAATTTTGCTGATGCTGCGTCCCATGTGTTGTTGGGACCAGTGCAGCAAGCCTTCGTCTTGTCCACTTGTCTGGTTAATGGACCATTTTCTCCTTGAGAGGAGTAAAATTGTGAAGCTCCTTCTCATAAAGTGCAAAGAGTTTGAATAAGTTGTAACAGGCTAGATTAATGCACAAGAAAAGGCTGTTGCAGCACTGTAGTGGTTCATAGGCGCCTCAAGCGCGAGGTTGCTTTTGCTAATCCGGCCTTCTACTGAACGGGAGCTCCAAATAACACGACTGTCGATACTTGCTTGCAAAATTTGGGCCATAAGACATAAAATAAATGCCTTTTGAATAATTTTTGGCCACATTTACCCCGCGAACCCCACACAACCGTGGGCCGCTGCCGACTTGTACGGGGCCGCTTTGACTTAGCAACGGCAGCCCATTTGAATTCCTCGGTTTAAGAACCACTGCCGGAAAAGTATGAGTCTTCCACAAGACAGAAGCAGCTTTTTCTAGCGACTGGGGGCTGAGTCTTCACGACACTGCATTGAGTAAAGAAGCAGAGGGCCTCGCGTTGCGGGCTACTGCTGTTCCTTCGTTCTAGTACCATTTCACTCTACCCATTGCACTTGGCTTCCAAATGACATATCAGAAGCCGCTGCAGTAGCGGCAGTGACACTGTGGGCAGCACTGGCAAGGCTTTCCAGCAAGCGGCTCATAGGGGAGCAGAGGCGAAGAGCAGCATGTCTTCTCCGTTAGATGAGCTCGCTGATGTCTTCATTACATCACAAAGTCCTTTTATGGGAGCTCAGAAGGGAATTAATGGACAGGAAGGACAGCAGAACCAGCAAAGCGTTGTAGGCGAAACACCATGTGTGCTCGGGGGCGAGGAAACAGCGATCAGTTCCTCCGCAGGTTTCGCCTACGCTTACTCGCCTGGCAAAACGTTCGGGCCAGCTTCGAGTGATCCAACAGATATAGCGGCTGCTGCTTCTGCGCGAGAGGCCGATGATGCCTTCGGGGATTGGACTTCTGCACCGCAAGTCACGCATCCCATACAGCAGCAATGTCAGCAACAACAGCAGCAGCAGCAAAACAGCGTGACCTCGGGAGCGCAAGACTTTCGAGCAACAAACGTTTCACTCCAGTCGAGTGTCTCGGGGTCTTTTGCCGAGTTGCTGGAGCCCAACATCAACAGCAACACCAGCACTTCAGGCGTCTTACAGCAAAGCCCACGTGTCCCGCTGGATGAACAGGCACAACTGGGCGCTGCTCCTGATCCCAGAGATGCTACTCCTCGCGATTGTGGTGACGCGTTTGTTGCGCTCGGTGCTGCTCCTCCGGGTAGTCTTGCTAGAGCTGCTTCCTTTGGTGTTGCTGCTGCGTCTGCAACAGCAACAGGCCCCCATCCACGGGCCTCTCAAGAACAATATGTGGCTACCAGATCGGATCCATCCGAAGCCCTAAAGGAAACCACAGCAGGCGCCGCAGGAATCGCAGTGTCAGGTTCGCTGGGGCCAAGACCAGCGTCGGCAGCAGCAACAACGGAGCGCGGAGGAGTCGGAGGAATGTCTGAGAGTGAATACGTCCACCCTTATTCCACGGGTTCATCAAGCTCTGGGTTTTCGAAGCCTCGTTCGGCTGTTTCAGGAGTTCCTTCGCCTGCTTCAGGACATCAAAGTTTGTCTTCAGACGCACTAGAAGCTCCAGTGGTCGGAGCGCCGGCTACAGCGGCTGCTCCAGTACCAGCCACGTTTCCTGCTTCGACGAATTCCCCAGTTTTCACTGCTGGCGCTTCTACAACTTCGCCTCCAACCACTCTGAATTTGGCATCTGTGCAAGATCGTGAATCTTCTAAAAAATGTGCAACTGAATGTTTGCAGCCGAGTGGCCCAGCAACTAAGGCTGCATATGCGTCAGAAGAAGTCACGGGCTTTACCGGAGGATCCAACGACTCAGCCCCTGAGGTGAGTACTTCAAGGGATATGACAGGAAATAAGGCAGAGATGAGTACAGCCGATTTCGCAGTGACAACTGATCAGGCATGTGAGGCGGCACCAGCTCCGACAGCCACACCTGTCGGGATATCCGGGGAATACCGAGACTGTGCACATCTAGAAACAGAAGCCAGTGGTCCGCTGCCGTCGCCGCGAGCAGAAAAGGCAAATGCATCGGCGACAGCAACGGCAGCTGATGCTGAAAGGTCAGCACAAGAGGCAGAAACAGCGGCAGCGCCTCAAACTGGGACAATGTGTGATTGGGAGGCGGTGGAGAAGCTGAGCCAGAAGTACCGCCAACTAAAGAAGCAGAATGCGTTGCTAAAGGAGGCCCTGCGTCAGCAGCAGCAACAGCAGCAGCAAGGGCAGAAACAGCCCCAACAGCAGCAACAGCAACAAGAAGAGCCTCTAGGGCTCGTGAGCCAACTGCAGCAGCAGGTTGCTTTGGGGGAGTTTCGACAGCGCCAGTTGCTGGATGACCTAGATACTGCGCAGCGTGAATTAAAAAGACAGCAGCAGCAACTGCAGCAGCAGCAGCAGCAACTGCAGCAACAACACCTGCTGTTACTGAAGACGGGAGCAGCGAACCCTTCATCAGCAGGAGGCCCGGGAAGTAGTTGGGGGCTATCATTGCTTGGGGGTGGCAGCGCAGCAGCCAAAGATGCCGAGCTGAAGGCTCTGCAGCAGCAAGTAGAGGTTCGTCCCATTACCTTCGGAACTACAATGTTAAGTAGCCGTTAACGTTAATGCAAACTCACACTTTCAGACTTTGAACAGTAGAAGCTAGTATGTGTGCCAACGGAGATCAAGAGCTCCCTCTGCTTCGTTGGTACAGCCACTGTTGTTCCGCTTCTGCAGCTCTGGTCCCTGTCGTGTGAAACTTAGGTACTGGGCGAAGAGCTTCAGCTCAAGATAGAAGAAAATGAGCGACTGCATCTGGAAGCCTTTGAGGAGAGGCAGCAACAGCAGCAACAGCAACAGCAGCTCGAAGCCACGATACGGCTTTTGCAGCAACAGCAGGAGGCAGCGCAACAGCAGCAACAACAGCAAACCGCTGACTACGCAGAGCAACAGAGAGAGTATGAGAGACTGCAGCAGCAGCAAGTGGAAAAGATGAGGCAGCTCCAGCAGGAGCTCGAGAACGCACACACCCAGCAGCAACTATTGCTAAGACAGTGAGTTTAGGATCGCGGCTTTAGCAAACGAAGTGGCAATAGTTGGGGCATAACGGATTCTCCCACAGTAACAAGAATCAACATTACCTCGACGTATTAAGAATGTCAATAATATTTGTGCAGGGCAGTGGAAGACCGAGAGCAACTGCTGCTTCGGGAGCAGCAGCAACAACAAGAGCAGCAGCAGGCTGTTGCATATTACAGCACCCTCCTTGGCTGCGACTACTCACGGATTCCACTGCTGCACTGCCTCGACCTTCCCTCAGGGGGGTGTGCCGCTGCTGCTGCTACCGCTGCTGCAGCACAGGAGGAACTGCTTCGGCTGATTGTCGCCTCACTAGGAGATTTACGGCACTTGCTGTTGTGCTGGGCAGCAGGTCTGGAGGTGTCGGCAGGAGCAACAGATCAAGGCGGAGAGGGGCTCCCACCGTCAGATGAAGAAGGCGCTTTGTCTGATGCCGATACACCCGCCAACCGCCTGCCCCACTCTCTTGGCCTTTCCTGGCGCGTCCGAACTGCAACTCGGCAGGTTGGTTGTGGACGCAAGAAGTCACTGCATGATGCTGCTGAATCTACCAATTTCATCTTTGCAGTTGCGGAAGGGCGTTAATGTGGTGTTTCTTAGGACCGCGCACTAGTTTTAACTGCTGGAGTCACTGCTGTTGGATTTGCAGGATTTTTATGTGTCCGCTGTCCTCAGGCACGCCGAGCTGCCTTCGATTCAGTGGCATCCATTACGGCTATCTGTTCTTTGCTCGAACACGCGGCTGCTGCTGTTGCTGTCGCTAGTGCTGAGCCTCTGACCCGGCGGGCCAACAGCAACCTGGATATTTGTTCAGGCAAGATACAGGTTAGCACACCAGCATTCCCGTAGCTTCTATGTGTGCTAATTCTGGTGTTGTGGCGTGGGTCTTCGAGGTGTTCGAGTGTGTGTGCAGAGATTCAGCACTCTCAAGTTCAATGTTTCTGTGGTATTGGCCTGCCGCAGTTGAGCGCTGCTGCTGCGATTGCGCGTACATGTCCTACCAACGTATATTCGCCATGTTACTCTGCTGCGTGCAGGAAGAAACAAGAAGGTTCGGCGTTGCTTTTTCGTGTTTCATCTCCTTGACTCTCCTGGCAGTCTCTTTGCAGCACGACGCCCTCAATGGCCCCCAGCAGCACCAGCGGCAGCAGCTAGATGCAAAGCATGGCGAACACCGCGGTAGTAACGTGGACCCGTTCATGTAAGAAACACACATGGGTGCTGCGGTAGTGTTTCAGAGCTCGCGCTCCACTTCACGGAGCCATTGCTGCTGTTGGTGCTGTCTCTTCGTTTCCTGCTCGTAGATGCGCATTTTGCCTTCACTTTCACTTGCCTTATTAATGTTCTTTGGAGCCAGTGCCGCAGCTACACATTGACCACGCACTCACGAAAAGGTGTTGCATTGTAACTGCACAGGGCTTGTCTGGAAGACTTACAGAGAGATGCTGCAGCGCTTAGCGCTGTCGCCGCTGCTGCATTTGAATATATGGGAGAGCAACCCAGCAGCAGCGGTGACGATGGCACTGCAGCATACACCGATGCTCTCTCGGAGAAGCATTTTCTGACCTTGACAGCTGTTCTTACTAATTCAAAGTTAGAGCACGACGAGAAGAAGCTCCTTGTTGCTGAGAAGTGCCAGCAGCAACAAAACCAGAATGGGGATCTGCAGAGTCGGTTGCAGCAAGAGTTAAGGATGCCCCCTCTTACCTTGTCGCCTTCTAAATCAGTTCATGCGCAGCATCAGGGGAAGAAAGGGCGGCAGTTGGATCTATCAACGCTATTTCCATGGCGTGGTGGTTCGCCTTTAACTTTTCAACTGGAGCAAACGGAGGAGGATGTACCACATCAGTCTGAATGCAGCAAATGGCTGCACCAGTTAAGGAGTAACAGGGGCGCAGCGTCAGCTGGAATTACCTTATCTGAATGGCGTGGAGCGGCAGAAGCAAAGAAAGAGCGACTGCTACAGCTTTTTTTTGATCAGTTGAAGACGGTTTTGCAGACCTTCCGTAAGCTATCTGCGGGTCGGCTACTTAAGCATGAGGTAGTGCAGCGGCACCTGCATTGGCGCATTGCGTGTACAGCGAAGGCCACTCACGGGCCAGAAGACGCAGCGGTCTTATTTCGTCCGTCTCATGTGTTTTTCCATCATCAGGTAATATGGCTGTCTGTCTCTCTGGCCGCATGCGTCGTCCCGCAGACCTAGTTGATGGACAACTGCTACTGCTGTCCGGGTAATGCGGCTCTGTTGTGGCTGCTTCTAAGGCGTGGAATAGTACCTGATGCGTTCTTTGCTGCGTTAGCGCATCATCGTGCGGGCTGTGTATATCTACCCTTAGACGCTATTGGTGCCATTGATTTGTTCAAATTCGCGTCGGTAAACTTCTTGTGTTTTTTCTTTGTCTCTTCTGATGCTGCAGCACAGGACCTTGCATGCTGTCGCTGCTGCAGGCGCTACGTGCAGTGAGCAACGCAGACGGAGGAACTTCCCGTCTGCTGCATCACTCTAAATTTCTATTGCTGCTGCAGCAAAGCCCTTCTTACGCGGCTCTTCGCGCAGAGCCTCTGCGTGATGTCGCTACAGTGTGAGTCAAAGTCACTTATTAGCTGGTTTCTGCCACTCGCGTTTGATGCCTTTCACTTCTAGCTTGCAGACCTCTGGGATATTCCTTCTCCATTTTTCCAAAAGTGTTTCAGTTTTCACGTTTCGACGCCTTGAATTGAGTCAGAGGCTCAATTTTCCTGTGCTGTGCCTACCCTCACCCGTGTGTCCCCGTCTCGTTGCGCGTGGTTCTCTATATCGGCTATGTTATTTATTGTTTTTCCTGCTTGTCACCCACTGCTGTATTTTAGAGGCATGCAATGCCTCTCCAACATTCGCGCCATCCTCCTGAACTGTGGCCAGAAAATTTCGACACGAGATGCGAGGCAAGTCTTCAGCAAGCGCCAGGTCAGTAGTACTTGTTTTCACTCGCCTTTATTCTCATTTATTTTACATTTATGTCAAGTAGCACGATTTGTTACCTTTTCGCACACCCTTGAATCTATCTGAGGTCGCCCTGGCTGGGTGATTTCGTTGAGTGTTTGCCGCCTATTTGTTATCCCCTGCATTTCAAAGCAGTCGGTCGCCCTTTCTACCCTTTTGACAGGCGGCAGAAGCCGAAGTCGCCGCCGCTGCGGCTGATGTACGTTTACTAGAGGAGCGCGTCGCCGAAGCAAACAAAGTCAGTTTGTCTTATCACAAGCGACGCTCCGTTCTTTCTTTTGGCAGTTCTAGCAGTCCAGTTGCCTTTTTCGTCCAAAGGCATTATGTCTTGCGCTGGCGCTGCTGTTGCTACTGTAGTTTGTGTCTTTTTCCTAGTGCTGCTGAGCTTCTTTCTGGTTTCCCATTGTGAACTTAACTTCTCAGGCCGCTTCTCAGCTGCGAGAAGCAAAAGTGGCCGTCGCGCTGCTCCAGGCTGAAGTTGCGAGGCTGAGGGGAGGCGCCTGTAGCGCCGCTACGAGCTTTACCACTGAAACATCTCCTACAAGGAGCGGTAGCAGCCGCTGCTCCACGCATCTTGAAGGTGGCGCAGGAGGGCTGCCTGTGCTTGCCGACGTTCCTGTCGCTGCAGAGTCTTCTGCAGCTGTTGCTTCTAAGGGATCTAGTAGTCAAGGTTTGTGGGGGAGGGCGGTTTTGCTAAATTCATAATTTGCTAGGGCTTATAATCATGCTTTTTACCTGTATTCCAAAGGCCCCTCCTGCTACTGCCGCATATGCCGCTTGTGCTGCATACGTTCTGTTCATTCCAGGTGATCCTGTTGTCAAGGGACTGGCGTTGCTGGCCGGCCCAACCACAGCAGATGCAGCAGCTTTCATAGCTAAGGAAGCAGATTTGGCCAGCATGTACGTTTCCCCCTTTTGACGTTTGTCCCTGCTGCTCAGTCGGCGGCTTCACCAAGTGCGACTGCTGCGGTGAATCAGCTGCGGCGAAAGTATATATTTCTGCCTTGACTATGTGACTACAGGGCTTTTGACGTCTCTGCTGAAGAGCAAAGAAGCGTGTATGCGGAGGAGCTGCTGCTGTTACAGCAGAAACTGCACGCGGAAGCAGCAGCCCTCGCTGTACTCAGGATGCAACTCAGCAGCGCCTTCAAGGTAACTTAAAGCAGCAGTCCACAGCTGCAGAACATAGAAAAAAAGAGAACAAGATGTGGCATCTTGCATTGTCCCTGCACAACAGGAAATGCTAGAGGAAGACGGCTGCGGCCGGACATAACTAGTAATGGTGCTGTCGCGTTCCTCTGTTGCTTGTGCGGCTACAGGCTGTTCATGCGCTTGAGGACCAGCGTGCTGCCCTGCGCCGTGAGCTTCGTCGCTCGAAGG